GTCGGAGTCGACGACGCGCTGTCACAAATTGCCGCCCCAGTTCGGAAGCTTCAGGCTCGGCATCGGGCTAGACGTCGACGTAGTCGGCCTTGCAAAAACAGTTTTGCACGCATGTAGTAGTCACCCCCGCCCATGAAATATTCACCATCTCCACAGCTGAATACCGGGACGCCCGAAACGGCAAGTTGGCTGCCAGGTGGTCAACAGCTATAAGCAAGCGCTCCGCAACGCGGCACCTAACGCACGGATTACACTCAAGCCAAGCGGTGACACTTTCGACGTTTCATTGAGCAGTAAGAAAAAGCGTGCTGGTCCTCTCGTCGGCCATCATGACCACACGTGCACACCAAGAGCGAGCAAGACGCGCACACGCAACACACATGCCAGAACGCGTGGAGCAGCTCTGAGCCCGTTTTCAGTCAGAAAACGAAACTAATTCGAGCCAGCGTAGCGGGCATCGCGGAGCAGTGGAGATGGGCAAAGGGATTGTGATCAAGAGAGGAGAGCACACTTGCGAGAGAAGGGCAAGGAGTTGCGATAAAGATAGGGGAGGATGCGGGGGGAGGTCGACCTTGAAAACCAAAACACACGGGAAGGAGGCAGGTTGGGTAGCTTGCGTGAAAGGTCCGCAAAACTCACACGTATAAAAACTTCGAAAGAGTGCCTGCGTGCGCAGAAGTCAAAGCATGGCTGCCTGGATCGGTGCGCGCGGCGGTGTTCGAAGAATTGGTAGCCGTGGTCAAAAAATTGTTTTGTTGCGCCGGCGGGTTTGCGTAGCCTCACGAACTTCGATATTTCGCCATTCGTTCCGCGCAAATTAACAGCCGTTTTCGCGCTTCCGCACGCGCGCAGAAGGCATGCTGAGTTGAGTGCGAAATGAGTGAGAACAAGTCCTAAACACGAAACGAATCCCAAATTATCAGAGTCGGTGGGGTAGCGTACGCGCATGTACTAGACGCAGACTATCGGATACAGTCGGTGGCCGATGATGCTGGCAAATGGTCTGGTCACTCCAGGCCGGCGACGCCAACGACAGTACCAGCGATCAAAACAGGGTAGATGGCCGACTGGTCTTCGAAAGATCGGTGGCACTGTGAAAACACGGGCCACGTCTGGCGATGTGGGGTGCTCAGAGTAGCGGGGGACAAAGGACGGAGGGGTGCGAAACTAAAAGCAGTCGGGGCATGGAGGAAGGAAACAACTTTCCTTCCTTCTTGGGTTAGGGAGAGCGGCAACTAGAGGGTTGTGGAGGCAGGGTCGGCGTTTAACAATAAGAATGTACGGGCACCTCGCCGATGCCTGATCGGTTGCCACGAGCGCGCGCAGTCATGACCGAATGTCATGACCAAGAAAGACACTGGGGCTCCGGCGCACGGATAGCCAGAGCAAGGAAGAGAAGAACGAAGTCAGAATAAGAACAGCTGGCCCAGGATCGGGTGTTGTCTCTTGTTCTCTGTCTAGTACACCACAGTGTACAGAAATTCCATTTCACCCTTTCTTACTAATACTTCTAATCATTTTTTTAATTTATATGCACCTATCTTTTCTTTACACTGTTTACTCACAGTCTTCACCAAAATGTCTGTCCTTGAGTCTTTTTCACTAGTTATTATATTTTATGTTTCTCATGAAAACACTAGATTTTGTCTGTGAGTATTTGTATCATTGTACTAAAACATGATTGTGCGAAAAATTGTAATTAAACTCGAACTGAGACCCCGAATATTCTACCACTATGTTCTGTGCATGCCATATCATATGCCACCAGCATGTGGCGTTCTCACTAACCTGCCCGCATAGTTACCTGCCCTCTTGTTTTCTCATTTACAATTTATCGGCGCCATGTGGGAGAACACAACGCACTCATACCACAACTACAATACTTGATTTCAACGCAAGGAACTAGTCAAGGAGCAGGCTGACGTGTGCGAACGAAGCGCGCCAGCGAGCGGCTGCGCCCTCTGCAGGCTGTATCGTAAAACCTTTCAGCCTTGCAACCTCCTTGGTGACACTAGGAAAACCTTTCTAGCCACTATAGTACAGGCGCCAAATACAACCACCAAACCCTCAATATTACCGAAAGTCAGGGGACAGCGCGTTCCAGCCACTTTCATAAACGAAGGCCCTGGGTGCTTAAAGCTAGAACACTCCAAATGGTGTGCTTGAGTGCAACACCGTTGGTGCTTAGCTTAACGATGATTGCCGCCAACTACTGTATTTAGTCGCGTAATTTGCACACTTTTTTTCTTGACTTTGGGGCCCCGAGACGGGGGTGCGCAAAATACGCGATGATTTCGCGAGTGCATATGAAACATTGTGTCACATTCGAAGGCGCACGGTACAGTCAAACCTCCATATATCGAACACGGATATATCGAATTATTGCCAATATCGAACGGTTCCTATATCACGCGGGAAATCGCATGCATTATTGATTTTTTTATTTCGAACAAAGTTTGACATATAATGGATATATCGAACTCAGCCACCCAAAACCGCCCGCGCTCCATTGACAGGCGGCGAGCTTTCCCGCAACTCTTGAAAGTAGTGGTAGAGCGGCGGGCGTTTACGAATGCTGCACACATCGATGGCGCTGAGAGCGCCCCTTTAACGTAGCAGCGTACGCGCGCCGCAGCCTTGCAGTAGAGGTTCTTAAATGAGGAAAGAGAAGAGAGAAGTGCGGAGCTGCTATCGTCTTGCAATACGAAGGTACCGACACGGCTTCGCGCGGGGGAAGGGGGAGTGGGAGGTAAAGACTGAGGAGGAAAGTATAGGAGGGAAAGGACGCAGACGACTGTCTCGGACGCGGCCCGCGCTGCCGCCAGGAAAGGGAAAGCAGTCAGGCGAGCCGGCATGAGCGCGCCATGAGCGCGCTTTACACCCGGACTCACGCCGCAGCCTTGCAGCTTGCAGTCGTTGCAGTCTCTATGGTGTCAACGGAACACTGCGCACTTGTTGCAAGCTCCTCCCCCGTAGCATCGCCAGGTATCGGTCATTGTGCTCGCAATGTTCGTGCGTTCGGAGTTAGGCCTGACGCGCGCTGTGGTGCGCGACAGGCCTATCTCCGAACAGCGGAGCTCACGGATGTGGAGATTGTCGCCGAAGCTACTGCTGAGCAGCCAAATGAAGACTCTGCCAAGGTGGATCCTGCAAGCGCTGATGGTGCCCTGCTCCCGACATCAGCTGAGGTCGTAGCTGCCTCGGGCCTTGTGCGCCGCCACTGCGGCGCGATTGAAGGCCCCGGCCTATCACTTATCGATCGCCTGGACTATATTGAGGACGCAGTCGTCAAACACGCCATGGCCAACAAAAAGCAGGCTACTCTTTTTCAATATTTTAAACCAACACAATAAATACTATGTTTGAATCTTCAAGTGAGTATTTACTGCACCATGCTTGAACGGTTCGTTGGTTGTTTTCAGCAAGCTGTTGACGCATTTTTTTCGTGATTTTTTTTATAGCGAATTCTGGATATATTGAACTATTTCGCGATCGCCGCGCCGTTCGATATATCGAGGTTCGACTGTATATACATTTAGATAAAAGAAGAAAATAAATTGGACTACCAAACTAAGTGTACTTATTAATTTTGAAGAAATTAGTGCATACTTTAACCAGTCATATCTGGTCACGCAGGGTCTAGGATGAATCGCTGATCGCGAAGTCCGTTTGGGAATCATCATCGCGGCCGCTGCTACTGCCCTTCCTGTAGTGCATCGTCCTCGGTTCCGTTGAACGCATTTCAACGCCCCATTTTCTGGAAGCTCTTTTGACAATGCTGGGAGAAACTAGGTCCCAGGACATGGCGATACCGGAAGTACTAAGCATCTACACATAATTCAAAGGCAGCAAACTTGCATTAGCAAGCGCGCACTTTTCTGCTTTGTCGCATACCGATTGTGCTGGTCATCACGTTGAAATGTGTCCCCTTGAAGTGCCTAGCGGCGGCACGCTTCCTATTTTCTTTAGCAAAATTTACAACAGTGAGCTTCAGTTTAGCACATCCCAAGGAAACCATCAACACGCGTCAGCCAGATGACGAAACATCAACTTTTGTAATCGACCAAGCATGCGTTGCAGTGCGGACGCAGACAATGAGGGTAACAGTTGGTGCAACAGGCCCTCGTGCAGAAAGTCGTCCGCTAAAAACCTCTATTATCGCAGTGGTAGGGATTGGGAGATATATGGTGGCAAACGCTCCAGCAGTTTCGGCGACCCGTCAACAGGTTTGTCTTCGGGTGTGGTATTCTAGGGACCGTAGTTTGGGGGAAGTCCTCGGAAGAAGAGATATTGCACTCACAGCCTGTTTGTTGGGCTGCACTGACTCGACTGAAGCATAAAAAGATCCAAAGGTGCGCACGCCGGCGAGCTGGCTCTGGCGGGTCAGAGAGCGCGAAATATGCAAGTAAATATTTTTTTTCTGTAAAGTTAGCAAAATATTAGGGGTGGGCAAATTATGCGAGGGTGCAAATTGTGCACGTAAATATGGTACTGTCGGGGCGCAAAAGTGCCATGAGGTGAATATTATGTTGGTTTCATGCTAGGAACAAGTGGAGAAAGAGAACGCACTTCAGTGAAGGAGAAAGTCAGAAACACGTCAATTTTGGGCAGACCGCAGAAGGTGCGAGATCTTGGCCGCCACCTCATAGTTCCTGCACATAGAGCAAGCTTTATAATCATGCACTGGAAGTCGCCTTATAGCTGTTAAGCTTACTACAGTGAAGTTTACGAGAGTGCACTCGAGCTTCTAAATTTATTGCACCCCCTGTTTTAGTAGTATGTGCCGCACCCCAACATCGATGCCAAAGAACACTGTACATATTGTGGCAGGCCACAGCTGCTACACAAAGAACGAAAATAATACTTTAGATATAAGACTTGAAGACAGTTTGCTAGAATGCTTCCCATGTTGGCTGAATGACTGCAACACAAGAATGCTTCCTAGTTTTCATAACATGAAACTACATCACAGACTCAATTAAGAGCGTAGTAGTGCCCACCTGTAGCCGGTCATGCTCCTGAATGAGGCGTGCAAAATGCTCCTTCATGGGGGCCTCATCATCATCAGGGCTGATTTTTCCCGTGGCTGTTGCTGCATTGCCACCACAAAAAGTTATTTATATGTTTATTATCTCTCAACCCAAAAGAATGGTCTTATTGGGATTGCCCACAAGGCAAGACGTCTTGACACAACCAAGACTTAAACACATGATTGCAAATTCACCATAAAGTTGTTGGTAACATCATAAATATATCGCCACCAATCATAATAAAGTAGAGAAGTGATCATTCCATCATTCTTGCTTAGGGGAACGTGTATTTGCTTAGAAAAAGAACACACGACAAAAAGGACGCTCACTTGGAACTGAGTTTGTTTGAGAAAGCTTCACACAAGGAATGGTTTTTTGCCAGGAAAGCTTCCTTCACAGCTGTTAAATGTTTAAACTCATTAAATGTGCACCCCACGCCTCTTTCAAGATTCTTACATTGTTACCGGTTTTGCCGGCATTCGGAAAACATTTTTTTGTGACAAGCTTTCCTGGCATGAAGCTTTCTTGAATAAATTCAGTATCATGTGAGCATCCCATCTATGTGTACTCATTTACTAAGCTTATCTGCACTCCCTGAAGCAAGAATGATGTCGAACTAACCAGCTCAACAGATTATCATATTGAAAGAAGTGTAAATTTAACAGCTCATTTTCTTAGTTAAACACAATATTAATGAGCACTATCACACAACAAACAGTCTATTAGTTCTATAATTTAATAATGATGAGAATATTTTTTAGTTTCACCAATGAAAAAATTTGCATCAAAACAAGTTCCTTAGCTTTACACTTCCTATACTTCCCATATACATCTGCTCAACATTCCCTAGCATTCACTTGAATAACATTCCCTATACTTTTTTTGGCCTGATTGTCTGTGAGATGTCATTATATTGTGTCTAACGAAGAAAACAAACCCTGTATACTTTTTTCCTTCATTCATAGCACGAGTCTGGTTCTGGCAGATTTAGAGCTTTTAGGTAGTGTACGAATAGTTATTGGTCAGCTGCCAGCTCGTAATAAGTTCACGTGCTATGTGATGCCAAAACATGCTGATAAAGCATGTTCCACATTCACCTTTATGACTACTGGTGGCGCTGACTGACGCTCTTATGTTTAATACAAATACACACACCATAAAGTGGACGGCAGGATGGCCTCCGTGGTAGCTCAGTTGGTATAATTGGGCGCATTATTCGAAGGTTGCAGGTTCGGTCCCTGCCCATAGCAATTTATCTTTTCATCCACTTTTCTTTCTTCCCCAAGCCAAGCTATCTTTTCGTCCACTTTTATTTGTTCACATTTGCATTACAATTACATAACATAACATCCCCCTGTTCATTCCTTGGCATGACTGTCTGTTATATATGATTAAATTTTATCTAACAAAGAAAATGAGCCCTTAAATGCACACTTCTTTCCTTGAGCTCGCCTAGACATTTTCCTGCAGCATAAGAGAGAGAAACGGCATAACACCAAACCATTTGTACGATGAATCTCTACCAACTAGCACAGTTTTCTGTCATTCTCATGTTCTGAAAGCTGTCATGGTAACATGCTAACATGTTCTGAAAGCTGTACATGGATTTACAACTTCTTTTGTTACCTCATTGCAGAGCTCAATAATATCCCATAATCACTGTGAAAGAATGGAGAAACCGGCAAGTCGTCTGCACTGCAAGCAGTGCACAAACAACATAGGAAAGATCTGTAAGTGTGGACACAATAAAATCAAGAACATCACCGAGTCCTTTAGATTACACTCCTTTGTGCTGCCCAAACAGCTTGATGATTAAAGTGTTCTGCAGTGACCAGCAATGCAGCCCAGCTGTGTCATTTGCATACTTTGCAAGCACATCTCCCAGAAATGTCGGCAGCATGCAGCCAACACAGAGGCACAAGAAGTGCAACTATCTACCTCGTGCTGCAAAATAGTGGCCTGCATGCTGGCATTTCTAATAACTAACCCTGTGCACTCACTTAAAAATATTGTTAGAGCAATGCCGATTTCCAATAAAGAAAAAACGCACTTCTCGTGCAACAGTACAATGCTCTCAGCATGAGCAGACAATTCCAAAGACACAAAATTTCCTATTCGTTCCTGCTGGCGGTCTTCAATTTTTTTTATACCCTTTTTACATAGGCAAGTTAACTACAGTTACGATCAAACACGGTTAACTGCATTCAATCACACTTAGCGCTAACTATGGTTCACCGATATTACACAGCGCAAAAGTATTTTCGACTAAGGCGGCTGTCGCCACCTGCGTGGATGCCATTTTGACGGTTAACTGCGAAGCCGGGGTCGCAAAGCTCGGTTTCCTACAACTGTGGTTTTTGCGTACCATGTAACATATTTTAATCGCGGTTACGTTTGATCGTGGTTATGTTAACTGAGGTTTAGGCTGTCTGTGTAACAAGGGTATTAGAGATTTTTAACAAAACATTGCAGCCAAAAAACTCCTTCCATTCATTTCCTCTGTGCAGTTTCCTAATTAGTACTCCAATGCAAAGTATGCAGAGAGCATGTGTGTGATTGGTAGATAACTGAAACAAGTGGGCACACATCCTTTCTCAATATTTCGAAAATTTTCTTCAAAGGGCCCTTCACTAGGCCACATAGCTGATCGACATAAACTGTATGTCTGTGGACATCTGATGAATATTTGGAATATCCATAATATACGTCCCAACATATGCCTATCGAAATCTGCGGTTACTTCGGCAAGTGCGGAAATTCACATCACGCTGCTAATTTCTCAGAAAAGCTATCAGCCGCACGTGGTATCCTGTGAGATTGTGTAGGTGAATTTCCCGGGCCCTAATGCACGTTCCTGTGCCTTCGTGTTTAGATTACAGATGGCCTTGGCGTCGGTTTTACCCTCCCCCTTCAACATGTTGACATGTGCACAAGGCAGCGTGACATTGTACTATGTTTACATGTGCTGGCCACAGTGATGCAAGCAGCGTTTTCGCAATCGGACATTTAATTAATGGTGAACGAGAAGCAAAAGAGATAGGAAACGGTCTTGGTAAAAGAGCTAGGGTGGTGGCTTGGGCTGTTTGGAAATTCACGACAGTGAGGCACCAGTGCCAAGAGAAGAAAGAGGACGACACACTGCGTCATCCTCTTTCTTGTTTTCGCACTTGGTACTCTACTGTGACGAAGGAGCTGGGCACCACAACTTCAACATGCAGAAATGTTGAGAACGGGCACACCTGCCAACTTTCCCATTTACACAGGGGAGTCCCAAAAGTTGAGAAAACCTCCCTGCAAGAAAAAAAAAAAAAGAAAGCCAGGCCAGCGCAGAAAGCGCTGAAAAGTCTCAACAAAAGCTGGAAAAGTGGCATTTCTAGAAGATTTTTAAGCAGCCTTGGGGCAACTATTAACCTTGGGCCAACTGGTAAATTTGTATGGCACCCACCACACCTTAAATCATCATAATTTTTTGTGTAGCGGGGCGGCATCCACTATACCATCATTCCTGATTCTTTGCAAAAGCGTGGTATCCGCTACACACTTGTAAGGCATTATTGTTCATTTTGTCCGTGCTGTGGCTGACGATGAGGAAGTATTCTGCCATTTGCTTTTGTAATGAGTTGCAGCATTAAACAACAAACTCCTAAAGCAATATGCATTGTGTGACACGTACTTGTCACTTCACTGTTCTACAACTCTTTATTACACATGTTAACATGATTCTTTACCCGGCATGAAGCCTGCATAGAGCCAGTTAGCAACAGAGTTTGAAACGCCAGCATAGCTCAAGGGTAGCATACCGGGCTGCCACCCAGAGGGCCCAGGCTCTATTTTCATTTGGTCCTCCGTATTCTTAATTTAGGTGTTTAGTTTTTTCCTTATTTTACGAGATAGGGGTTATGAACACTGACAGCAACAATGGTGGACAACTGCAGTGCCAGAATCGGCACTTGTCGTGATCTCACAGCTTTCGCTGCAGAATAGCCCCCCCACCACCATGATGAGCAAATAATAAAGAACAGCACTTCTAAAACTTTCTGGCTTTCATTTACACGGTGCAAAGCACTCCTTGGGTCACTTTAGACGCAGCACTTTGGTGTCATGCGAAAAAGCGTACTAACATTAGGAAGGAGCTACTCGCTCTCGTTGGTCGAACACAGCTGGTTCAATGCACGCACTGTATATTTACGAGAAGCATGATCACTGACATCAAGAAACTTTACTAGCAATCATTCAGAGCAGTTCGTGATGTTGCTATGGCTCTAAGAGACAGTTACCAAAAACAAACACCACTTCTCTGTGGTCGCATACTGTTTTTGAGTGTTTTCTGGTGATGCAAATTTTGAAGATACGAATATTTTTGTCACCCCATGAGGTTTATGTCACCCAGGTTTTACTATAATTCCTTTCGTCATGCATTCACATAAGAGGTTGAAACAATGCACGTGTACATCAGAGGCGGTTGCCCATAAGTTCAAGTTCGGAGTCGAACCGACAAACCCTGAACTTGTGCCTCTGATATACATGTGTTGCTTCATTTGTTTATGGGAATGTGTGATGAAAAAAATTCATAGATATGAAGCGCTCCCTGCTAACAAACAGTTGTGCGTAGCCAGTGTCGTCCTTGTCTTCTTTCTTGCCTTCACCAGTTTTTATTTTATGCAAATATGTCACGGCCAGTTACGTATGACCAATTACGCCACCAGTTCATTCTTCTAGATGCATTTCATGGCAGGACACTATTGCGAGTGGACAACATAACTATTTTGCTTGTCAATTCAGAACCTGGTTAAGGGCCCTTCAAGAAATACTTCTGAAAACTTATCCTCACAACCAAATAAACGATGCTAAACTGTGCAATTACCACGGCAAGCTGTCAAGATAGATATAAATTTTTTTTCAGAACCTCGCAGCTTCTCCCTGTCAGAATTGTTGCTATACTCATTGCACAGAATGTTGGCCGGTTACAAAGAGAGCAAATCACAGATTACATGGACATATGAAAACATAACATGCTATCCTTCCCATTGAAAGGCGATAAACATGTAATATTTTAAAGGGGCCCTGCAACACTTTTGCAGCATGGTCAGAAAACACTGTGGGTCAGCAGTCGAAGCACTGAAAAGTCTCACATTCAAAGAAAAGAAAATTGCTCAAGGTCACGAAGTGCACACGAAGAATTTTTTTTCATCACTCTCTGCTTTAGCTTTCAGCATTTTTGTTGAGACGAGAAAAGAGCACTAACGATGAATGCAGCGTGCGACAAATCTTTGTAACTCCGCTCGTACTGGATGAATTCTCAAACATTTTGCGGTAGTGAATTCATGAGGCAATAAGCTCCTTCAGTGAATCCATTTCATGGCTGCTTGAAAAAGTATTGCAGGGAACTTTTGATATTTTAGTATAATGTGGTACAATGAACATTTTCAATATGATGCTGTTATAGCACCGTGAACATTTTCATTACGATGATGTTATAGCAAAGCTTTAACCTGGTGCTCACTTGGAAAAAAAGTCATAATTAAGGTAGGTTACCTCTAGCTTCACAGGCTCCTTTGCTTCTCTTCATCTTTCTTTACCTCTTCTTTTTATATCTATTTTATATTTTCTGTGGAGGTTTCCTCATCCCTCTCTAGTGCCAATGTTTGCGTACCCAGTTCTTCATAAGGAAAATTGGTCATGCAAGCACAAAAACAACACACCAGCAAATGCAGGCTTGGATTCTGGCCTTGGCTTGCTGCGCACTGGTTGAGGTGGGAGCGGTGCCTTGCGTGCGAACTCTGGCTGTGGCTTGCGTGATGGCTGTGGCTCTGACTGTAGTGAGCCATGATACGACGCACTCATCGCTGCTGGCGTCCCACCACTAATAGCCCTCATGCTGCCATGGCGTCGTAGTTGACAGCCACCTTCTGGTTGTGCCAAGTCATCCTTCGACTGCAAGAGTTGTGGGCCATAGCTGTACATGTTGCGTAACAAACTACATGCTAAAAAAAAATCCGTAGTAACAGTTTGTATGCCCAGCTGACGCAAAGCTTCCTGAAAAGGGTGGGTTGATGCACCTTGAAGAATATGAGAAACAGACTCCATGGACGCCATCTTCACCTGTTACACGCTTCTCGTTGCTCATTGTGCACTTTTATTAAATGAATTCCATCATTTCGTATATAATCAATAACTTACTTAAACTGCAATGAAGAAGTACCGACGTCGCTTTTTTATGGTAACTGTAACAGGGTTACTTTTATGACTTAGGTAACTGTATTTGTAACAGTGTTACTTTTTGCCGATAACATGCCCATGAATGGCTTAATGTTATACCCCCTTCAGTCACGTCCGTTCTAGATATGTGTACATGTAATTCATACCATCTTTAAGGGTAAAGAGTGTTTTTGTCTAACAAAGAGGCGAGCCCCTCAATCAGGGTTGCCTTTAGGTAGTAAAAAGCAGCTGAATACAAGGTAAAAGTAGTGATTTCATTTTCTTAACACTTGTATCGCGCTGCCATAACACGAAGAAAGACACTTGAAAAGCACAGGAAGAACACAACACGAGCGCATGAAAGTCTAGCCGTTTTAGCTGTTATTTTATTTAATTTTACCATCACATGTGTAGACAAAAAGAACAAGGATGGTATTATGACTGGAGTTACTTTCATTATTCTACAATAGAGTTTGGAATACACAAAAACATAAAATTAGGTGCACAGTTCTTCTGCTTTGTTTAGTTTCTCTGAGTCACATGTGAGTTGAAAAAAATGAATTATTTATTTATTTTTTATTTGCTTCCTCTTTCCTTAAGCCGATGACATTAGATAAGAGAGTAGGTAAAACACGAAAAAAGATGTGACTGAATAGAGTGAGTAAATAAGAACAATGTACAGACTTACTGCCTCATGAAAATGACAATTATCACTCCTCTCCCTGTATCAAAGCAGATTAAAATGATTTGGTGTGCACAGCAGAAAAGAAGCTTGGGGTTTTACAAAATGGTGTACCTACCTCATAGTGATAATAAAATAATTGAGACTTATGGAGTGGTGATGAAATAAGTGTGTCAAGAAGAATGCTACAGTAAGTTCAAGTGGCTCAATTTTCAATGTGTTGTTAAAGACTGAGGAGAAAAGGTGGATTTAGTGACTGTAATGCTAGAGACAAATGCAGTTATAGAATATATACAACATTCTTTCCAGTCTTATTACATGACATGACCATAATATTCATAACAAGTGATGAGGTTCTAATGCAGTGGTATACAAGATGCAAACAAGCACATTTTTTCTATTTGGGGCGGCTCCTTGCATATTCTTACATTTAGTTCAAAAAACTATATTTTCTGCAAAGCAGAGCATCAACTTCTTTGGAATGATTAGTATAGACTGTTTTCACAAGGAGGCATTTTTTTTTCTTTTTTTTTCCGCCACAGCGCCGTCTAGCATCTGTAATGTTACGCTGCTGTGTCAGTGTGTGGGGATCTGCGGCGGTGTATGCAGCGTATGTGCCGAGTAATATGCCGGGTATTGTTGTTCTCTGTGGTACACAGTCATAACACAGCAAGGCTGCATGATGATGATGATATGTGGGGTTTTTTGGCACAAACATCACTGTTGGCTAAAGAGCACGATTACTATGGTGAGATATATTCCCTGTGAACAATAATCTGAAATGTTGGAGTGTGGCACATCTGTAAAGTGGCCTTAAAAGCAAGCGCTATCAGTAAAGGTAAAAAACATATATATAGAATGAAATCATTGTACTGATGTATGGGGTTGTTTATATTTGTTTGAAGGCTGATGAGTGATCATTTTTGCACACGGTGATCGGCAGTGAATAGCACAAATGCCTCTAAAGTCTTTTGTGCCCAAAGAACCCAAGGAAAGTGCTTTTCTGTGAGAGAACTACCGCAGCAGTGGCCTCTGTTGAGAAGCTGTGCTAAGGTTTCCTAGGTACATAATAAATTTTGTAAATCTGAAAAAGCATAAATGTGAGTCATATTTAAAAATAGATTCCCTGCCCATGAACAGTAATGGATGAAGTGGGAGAGGTTGCTGGTATGACTGGAAATGCTTCTCTCTAATAGTGTCTAGATATGTGCATTCAAGCAGGTCGTGAAAGACAGTCAATGATGCACCACATTTTTCACATACTGCTGGGTCGCCACCAGACAGAAATTATGCTTGTGTACTGTGTGTGTGTCCTATTCTTATTCTGCAAAGTGTAACTCTGTGTGGCATGACTTTAAGACCAGTGGCCATATGCCAAGACGTGGTTTGCTGATACGCAATTTATTTGTGGTTTGCCTATCCCACGGGCGCTACCAGTGTGCTCTTACGGATTTCTCTAGGAGGGACATGAAATATACAGTCTTCAACATTTTGTTGACACAGTGGCATACCTGCCAACCTGGCAACAGAAAAATTCGTAAAAACCCTGTGCGGGGAAGGGGGGCGACAGGAATTACCAACTTCTTATTTTAATTTGTAGCTGGGATGAATTCGCCTTTAAAGACAGCAACATCATGTTTTGCCGCCATAAGTCAAATCGACGCTCTGAATTGTTTCACCCCATTTTTGACACCAAAAGAAAAAACTAAAAAACTAAAAAAACAAGATGGGGGGGGGGGGGGGGGTAAAGGCTAGTGCAAACATCGGCGTTGCAGTCTCATAATAGCTTCGAGCGGCCGAACACACGAGGGTAGGGTTTCCCACTAAGGTGAGTGTCATAAGGGAAGCACAAACGCTCCCGAAATTTTGTGTCATCAAAACAACTAGTAAAAAAATTTATTTCCATCAAACTCACATGTGTCTTCACAGGTGAACGGACAGGCGCAGTTGGCTGCCGTGAAAGCGCGGGTCAAAAGCTTTGGCTTTGCTCGTAACTAGGTTCTTTGGACAGGAACGTCAAAACACTTCTAGCCTTTTTTACATCTTTTCCACCTTTTTACTAACGCTGTGTCAGCCATGCGCCCTCCAAGCTCGTAGATCGATTGCTATCGCATCGCCGCGATCGCGGTTTTCTGCGCGGCGGCGGCAAATGATAATTGTTTTCAATCCAAGTGCCTTCAAAACTAAATCATTTTATATTATCTGTGATCGCAACTGCCTCGGTTTTGTCCACAGAGTTTGCAGAAAGTAGCGTTGCTTTGACTGGTCGAGCGTTGACCGCATGCACACTTTTGGAGTTCTGTCAGTAACGTCATCGCCAAATATGATCATATCGAACGACGGCGGTTTCGTCCACAGTGGTTGTGGCAATGCCAACCACAAACACTGTAGAAGACAGTGCATGCACTGGTCACAGGCGTACTCCCGAAGCTTTTAGCACGCTGCTCTCCATCGATCTTTGTTCAACGATTTCGGTACTAACGTTCATATCACATGCCGCGATCAAAAAAAGTGTTCGGAACATTCGAATTTTGGCCCAATGGACACGTGAATTTGGCTTGGCAATTTCACGAATTTGTATTTGCCACGGTTTTGCATCACTGAGACTCTACTGTACGTTTTGATGAACGTCCCTCAAATTTGTTATAATAAAATACGACTGGCACACAAAAAGCCTGGAACGGACTGATCTGCATTTTTGTCAATGCGGCCAGATCTCGCACACAAATTTCAATTTCCGAAAAATTTTCGTGGCAACCATACAAACGTATGGTTGCCATAAAATGTCTCCCAGACAATGCCGGAAACTTTGCAAGTATGTGATGATGATAAGACCAATACACACTGTTCTCTCCTGGTGGAGGAATATAGCACAATGCCGTTTTTGTGACCTCCGCGTCTAGCTACGGCAATGCCCTGTCACCAATTGTGGGGGCCACACTGATTTACCTCATTTTTTTTTATCAGAAATCAAATATTTTCCGTAAATTTTTAGGAAAGATTCGCAAAATTCTAGGCGCAGTCAAAATTCGTACATTTTACGGGAAAATCGAAAGAGTTGGCAGGTCTTCAGTGGCATTGTGGTTATGGCTAAAATCAAAGCAAAAAACTTGGCCTTTTTATTGTGTTTTACATAGTAATGTACCTAATGCACTAATACCTCTTTGTAACAAAATTGAAGCATACATAAAAATAAATTCATGAATCCGAAAATTTGTTACAAAGGTATATTTCTATCGGTGTATGTATTGTGAGACTATTTTTTATTTACTTCGTTATAACAGATATTTCATTTTATCCTGGTTCATTTTACCAAAGTTTTAGTGTACCACAGCATTACAAAAATGCAAAATTTATCATGATATAATGACTTCGCGTTTACCCTTTGAACTGCCATGCATGTGCAGTGCTGTAGATTGCACACACAACTTTCCTCACCTGTGGCTGTGCAGAAGGTCTAGGGAGACGCAGGCTTTTGGACCGAGCCAGGGTTGAACGGCCAGGAGGTCGAGCTGAGGAAGACATGCTTTCACAGCACAACTGCCACTGCACCATCCATCAGGATACCTACACACAAATGACACAGGCTTAGAAGACAGCTTACAACTCTACTGACATGCAACTGCAGCCTATGTTGCACAAGCTAAGCATTTCAAGCTGAGTCAAATTAGGCAACTGAGCTGCATCTCATATAATTGAGCTGAATAAACTAAAATGACTAAAAGAGAATGACCCATGGCAAACCACGAACTGTCTCTCTCTCTCTCTCTCTCTCTCTCTCTCTCTACGCTGGCCGAGAATGAGCAGTTTCGCATGGCTTATTGAGAGCCGTGCTGTGCATGCCCAAGGAATACTGACATCACACAGCTAGTGCGCAAGAGAAGGTCTCAAAGCTCCTGGAGTGATGTGTCACGAGTGAACTGGCGCTTGACTCCCGTGAGCTCCCTCCTCAGTCCTTCTGATCGTCCATCCATAGCTTATGCTAGTTACGTTAGCTGGCATAGGTGAGCAAAACCATTGCAAACTTTTAAATCATTGGATTTTAATTATGTGATCGCTTTTGGTATCTGAAATTAACAACCAAAACACTCTTTGTGATACTCAGTATTGTATCTTGCATATGCAGATGTGACAGGAACTGACACTATTTGAAGTAAGCAATTAAGTGTGCATCACTATTGCGGTGCAGTGTCTGAAAAGGATGCCATTACCTCGTGAATCGCACAAGTACATGGTAAACCATATCACCAGCTTCTATTGTCTGGTAAGGCCTTGCATCTCCAATAGAGCTGGGCCTGAACTGACCTCCATCTGGTGCTGGCTCATCCTAGTGCTGGGTCTCCAGCTCAGCTTCTAGCAATTGCTACTAAGGCTTGCTACTAAGCAATCGCAACTAAGCTTTGCCAGTGCAATATGACATCTGGTGTGTAATAAATTAAAGGGGCCCTGAAGACGGTTTTGACACTGCAACAAGACATTGCAACAACAAATGCAAAGCCATGAGAACGTCAACTTTCAGACAAACCAAGACAAGATGGCATCCGGCTCACTCTTGCCGGACGTCCGCGCAATTCGGCATGAGGTTTATTTTATTTGTGTCATGGGCGAGTGCAATCTCGAGCAAGTATTCAAGAGAAATGCTTCCCATAAAAGACATGAAGGTGCAGTATCCAATTCGAGCCATGGCGGCCACATTCCTACGTACAAGCTCACTCCCCACCATTTAGAAAAAAAATTGGTGGATATGGTCCAGTGCCAGGGGCCTGCATAGACCCTTACAGCATCCCTCATATCACGGTTTAGGAACCTAAAACCACAACAACTTTTATCATAAATGACAAACAGGGAAGCTATAGTATTTGATCCACCCTCATTATGTTGTCCCAATCCATCAGTCGTGTCATTTCTGCAGAATACAGTAACCAAGTAAGGAACAAAATGGGTCATTTACATCAGCAAGCCTTAAATGTAAAACATTTTTTTTTGCGTACTGCAAGCACTTTAGGTGTCTTCCATCTATCTGTCTGTGTGTCTAGTCACCTACATCTGGGTGCTCTTAGCAAAATTAATAGGGGAGGGTAAGATGTTTGACGAATACGACTCGCTCATCATGACATGAATAATGTCACAAACCCACCGTGTACATCGTCAAACATTTTCCACCCGACAGTAGCACGTAACCACAAGTGGGTATGTGGCACAGGTGATTCACACCTCATAGCTACCCAGAAACGGAAGAATGCACATGGGTAATTTTAATGCCAGAGCATTCAGAAAAAGCTGACATCCCCTACATTGACCCGATGAATGTAAAGAAAAATGTCAGGTTTCCAGCAGGAATTGAACCCCGTCATTCTGCATGGCAGCCAAGTATTCTACCACGGAGTCCCGCCAGGTCTTGCAACTGCGTTTCAAACAGAGATTGCAATTTTCGTAAAGCATTCAATTTGGAATATACTAATGGCTATTCCATTTTATTGGATTACATATGTCTGCACCTGTGTTTTAGTTGGCGAAGCTCTTGAAGGCGTGGGTCTGCCTATACCTTGTATGAATGTGACTGCTTATAGTTCCACCTTTGCAAACTGTCCACTACTTCGTCCTTGCAAACATCCCACTAAGCCCCATCCCTAATCCACCCCTTCACCAACCATAAAGCAACTAATGTTGAGAAGTAGCCAATATCGAATGCAAGATAGTCATGTACTTGTATCCAGGTGCACATTAAAGAACCACAGATTGTCCCACTGTGTCTTTCCCTTGTTTGTATGTGACCGCCTATAGTTCCACCTTTGCAAACTGCCCACTACTTCGTGCTCGCAAACATTGCACTATGCCCCATCACCGATTCACCACTTTGACCATGAAGCCGTTAAAATGAAGGGGCAATGGAAGCGATGTATAGCTACCACTTAGGAATAATAAAATTCCTTGTATAAATATACACAGTGTTTGTCACGTCATTGATGATATTGTTATAAATTGTTTAAATCTCCTGTGCAAATACTGCACACAAAGAAGGACTGAGAACGACTAAGAGGAAAAGAACATTCAGGAAATAGAACACCCTTCTTGACATGGATGCTCGGGTTTGCGTCTCTTTCATTTGGCGCCTTTAGACACCGAAGCGTGGTTTTCCCACATCGATTTGGTGCCGACGACCCGGTAATCAAGCCAACAATGACCTGAGCTTTTCATTCCTAGGGTGGGTGAGCTGCACTTCGAGCTACACTGGCATGGAGCGAGTGAAGAACAAGCGGGCCTCGCGGCAAACGAAGAACACGAAAATCATCAACTAGGTCAACCAGGTGCTCCAGTCTAACCAGTTGGAGCTTTCTGGACTTCGAATTCTGCACGGCCCTCTACGCGCCAGTAATGTGGAACTTGTATCCTTGAATAGCGAGGTTAAAGCCTTGTTGACAGACGACCTGGCAGCAGACGACTATGAGGTCGTCATGCAGTACGATGGCGCCGCGAACAGTACTATGGTGTTGCTCGAGCAGCACATCGGCGTTCTGAAGACTTCCACTACGCCGGCGTCAAATGCAAATTCAGCCATGGGCGCAAGAATGCACCAAGTAGATATGAACAGCTTCCACAACGTGAGTTCGGAGCACGACTTCCCAAGTTAAAGCTTCTTCGTTTCGACGGGACCATGACAAAGTGGCAACCCTTTTGGGATATGTTCTTGCACTCCGTGCGCGAGAACCTGAGGCTTTTCAATACTGGTTTTGTTATTCGGTCTCACTACTAGATGCACCTGCAGCTCAAGCCGTCGCATGTATTCAGGTGACAGATTCTTGTTAAGATAATCCACTAAAAATTTTGAAACGTCGTTTTGGGAACCAGAAAATTATCGAGCAAAAATACCTAGAAAACTTGCGCACGCTCAAACCAGTAAAATTGGCGAGCGATGCCTTTGTTCTGCGCAAGCGTTTCGACACAGAGCAACAGAATATGAGAGGATTGCATAGTCTCAGAATCACGGAGTCTTCGTACGCGGCTATGCTCAAGGTACTACCAGCTGACCAGCGCTGCTCATACCTCATCGCCCACAGCGCGCACCGCCAGTGTGTGAAAAAGGTGTTCTCTAGATGAAAGCTTTGTGCTAGATTCAAGCTCGAACCTGCCTCAGCTCCTACTGCACCCCCGTTGACCGACAAGGTGCAGAGATCGCCCCCATTTCCAGTTGTGGGTGTTGACTTTTCTGGTCCAAGTTTTGTTGAAGGAACCAGCCTTGCGAAAACTTATACCCCTATATTTACATGTGCCGTCGTTCGGGCGAACCACTTAGAGTTGTGCAGTGATATGACAGCGGGGTCATTTTCAATGGCTTTCGGTCAGTTTGTGTCGCGATATGGCTTGCCTATTTTTGTTTATTCCGACGATGCTCTAGCTTTTCGTGCAGCCACTCGTGACTTAAATGTGATGTACCAAATTTTGAGCGACTTCCAAATGCAGGACTTTCGCTCTACTAACCACATTACTTTGGGAATTCATTGCAGAACGTGGTCTGTGGTGGGGTGAATTTTGGAAAAGGATTCTTCACACTGTTAAAAGCTGTCTACGAAAAACTCTAGGGAAAGGGTGCTTCAATTTCGAGCAGCTTGTGACCATCCTTGCCGAAGCAGAAAAAGCAGTGAAATCTAAGCCGCTAACGTATCTCTCTGCTGACATTACTGATCCAGCTGTACTTACGCCTTCACACTTTCTAACTGGTAGGAAGTTTAGCACTGCCTTGTGTTAATATTGCTGAAACATTGGGAAGTCACTTCTATACTTGAAAGCATTGAAAGTACAGGCAGGAAATAGTAAATGATTTTTGAAAACATTCGTATGAAGAATACCGTTTGTGCTTGTGAAGTGCGTATAGCAACCAGCTTAAGGTTAACGATGTGGTCGTCATTAAGGAAGACAAAGTGCCCATAACTTTTTCGAACGTCAGTAGAGTGACTGCTGAGTACTTATCTAGTGTTAATCACACTATAGCCTGCAAGATCACCTTGGCAGAAGATCCGAAAGTTACGAGGCCAGTGCTACTTTTGTATTCGTTGGAGTTTGGTGATTGCGCTTTGTTCGTTATAGACGATGTAGTAAATTATTTGAATCTCTCACGCAAATCGAATTCACTCTCTGGATATGCTGAGTTTTTTTTTTTTTTTTTCATTTGTGTCTGTCCATTCTGGTCATTACGCGCTGTTTTCACCTCGGTATGGAAAACCCACTAGCTCTAAATGTGTTATTACATAATATATACTCCTACAATAGAGTTGTCACATCAGGTAAACTGTAATTGAGCGGAATGTAATGAAGGTGATTGACAGCTTATATGAACCTAGGAACACCACAAACAGACATTGCTTTATTTATTTCAAGAGCGTTAGGGGAAAAAAAAAGTCACAGCTTTGCCAAAAAGGTGAGACAATAAATGCGATAGCAATTAACTGGAATGTCACGCGAAGAATGGCAAGCAGATCGAAAAGTGCACTGCTTTGCTCACGCACAAATCACACATAAAATGTATTCACAGGTACAGATGAACACGAATAGCTGTTTCAGTTGAGAAT